AAAAATATCCTCAGGTGAGGATTTAAAATCTAAAAAATGATGATAATAATAATAATAATAGAAAATACATATATATAGTACTCAATACATGTCAGGTAGTTTTTCAAGCACTTTATGTATGTTAACCAGTTTAGTTGTTGTGACAACCCTGTGAGTAAGCACTATTATACCCATTTTATCCATGTGGAAACTGAGGCATGCAGTTACTTGCCCAAGGTCACATATGTAGTAAGTGATTGAGTCAGGATTCAAACCAGGCAGTCTGGAGCCAGAGTTTACACTGTTTGCCACTATATTATACTGCCATTTAGATGAGATATCCACTCTGTTCCCTGAAATTCTGCCATTATTTACTCATTTCTTTGGTGTTAAGAGTGTGTGGTCTTCCAGAACTCCATTGGAAAACACAGTGTCCTCCCAGAGTGAGAATTCTAAGACCCAGTGCAGAGGCTGTTCTTTCTCCTTAGAATGTTTTCATGACTCTTTCCTAAGTAGTGAACTTCTGGTCATCTTTCAAGATCTAGCCCAAATATCAACTCCCTGCCCCCAACACCCAAGAAGCTTTCTCAGGAAACCTAAAGAGTTGTCTTACAACAGCTGTGGTGCAGAGATTGTCTGTATTTTACTACAATTGCTTTGTATGTATGTTTATTTTTGTCACCAGCCTATGACATTCTCAATTACAGAAACTTTGTTTCAGGCACTATGCTTGGCCCTAAATGGTAGAAAGATGAATGAGATATGGTCCCTGACTTCAGAGAGTCCCCAAGCTTATTTTTGATGGACATATCTGATATTTAAGACAAAGGCTGGAGAGTTATAGGCAAATGATTATTATGGGCACAGAGGACAGAAAATTTACTTCTGATTTGAAGGAGTGATATTTGAGCTGAGACTAAAGGACAAGGAAGATTTCAATGGGAGAATGAATGAATCCCTTGGGAAAATGAGCCATTTGTGCTATTTTTATGATGCAAGAGGAAAAGGATTAGACTTGGAAACCATACTGGCAGGACTGCCATTAGCCCTGTGACATCAGGCAAATCACTTCATTTTTTCCTATGTTTCAGTTTATCCCTTTGTACAATTAGAATACTATCTACTCATTTCCCAGGATTTGTTTTAAGCATTAAATAAAAATCAAGACTGGATTTGTGTAAAATGCTAAATGCCATAATTATGCTTCTTAATTTCTCTTGTACATTGCCTCTTAAGAATTAAATAAGATTGAGAACATTTATTGAGAGCTTACTCTGGGACAGGCACCCTTCTACGCACTTTCTGGATACTATTTAATTTACTATCCTGGCAATCCTGTAAGGTAGGTATTATTACTATGATCATCCTACAGATGAGGGGGGAAAGGCCCAAAGAGCTTCAGTTGTCTCGCCCAAGGTCACACAGCTATGAACTCCTGGGGCCCAGATTCAAACCCAGTTGGTACCTCAAAGACTAAAGTTGTATTAAAGATGCCCTCAGTCTGGCCAAGTTATGACTCATTAATTAGCTGAGAATGGACAGATGAGACAGGGTGACCCTCCTCTGACAAGATGGAGATCAAGATCCCTCTCCTTCACCTCTATCAGTGGATAAATTGAACATGTGGGTTAATTATAAGAATCACAGAGCTTGGATTTTTCCCCCCAAACATTTTTTGTCCTTTACTTAAAAACTGATTAAAAGAAAAACCCAGGCATAAAAGTTATAGAGATTTTAGAAGGTTTTTTAAAAAGCAGAATATGTGAACATTCTCCTAGTGAAACCTTGCCTAACAAGGTCATTGTTAAGAAATACAAAGCCAACAGCTGGATAAATCAGAAAAATGAGGTCCCATATTCATTCAAATCAAGTGGCATTTATCTGTATTTGAAAATGGCTTTCTAATGTTTTTATTTCATTGGTATGAGAGTTCCAACAGAACCCTAAAGCGATTATATAGAACACTAGGGCTTTTTAATAGCTTCTAACTTCACAAGCCACAGTAATTTAAAAAGGAGCGGATGAACTGCTAGGAGCAGGGAGATTTCTGCTGGAGAATACAAATGTATTCTCTGCTACACTGCTTCTGCCTCTTTCTGGGGAGAGGCAAATGCACACAGCAATGTGATGGAACTTTCCAGCTGGTGATTAGTGTTTGTGAAAATGACTGATAATTAGGTGTGAAAGCCTGTAAGACTGAAAAATGGAGAAACATTGCAGAATCTCTATTTATATCAAGGGCTGAACTTGGTACAATCTTTTGCAGGGGATGTTAGCAATATGCTGACACTTTAACCCAGCAATTCCACTTCTAGGAATCTACTTTAAAGCAACTTGCACATGTACACAAAGGTCTACATACAAGGATGTTCACTGTAGCATTGTTTGCAGGTATGAAAAATGAAAATACTCTATACCTGTCAATATGAAAATGCTTAAACAAATGATGACATATCCATAGTTTAGAAAAATTTGCTGCTAATAAATAGAATGAGATAGATATATTCTAACACAGAAATATGACCCTGATATGTTAAGTGAATAAAAGCAAATTGCAAAGTTGTATCTATCCAACAATTCCATTTTTTAAATGTTTTTAATGTTATTATATTCATAGACAAACATCTGGAGGTATATCTATCAATGGTTAGAGAGAGAGAAACATCGATGTGAAAGGAACACATGGAGTGGCTGCCACCCTCACGACCGACCAGGGCCGGGAACAAACTGCAACCGAGGTACGTGCCCTTAGCGGGAACCGAACCCGGGTCTCTCAGGACCGCAGGCCGATGCTCTAACCGCTGAGCCAAACCGGCCAGGGCACAAGCTGCCTATTTTAGAAGTCACTAAAACAAGGTGGTAAATAGCTTGGCCTTTGGAGTTTTAGAGCCCTGGGTTCAAATCTCCTAACTTTATGAATTTGGGAAATGTTCTTCTCCTTTTAGGCTCTCTCTTTTTTTCATCTGAAAAATAATACTCTTAGAGAATCTGCCTCATAGGGTCTTTGGAATGATGAAAAAATAAGTATCATAAGTGCTTGGGAATAGTAAGTAAATAAACAAATGTCACTCATTATTGTCACTGCATCCTATCAATTCTTCTTTGGTAGAATCTCTTCCATCTATCTGCTGCCTGATAAACTCCTACTCATCCTTCAAAGCCTGGCTCAGGTGCCGTCACTGCAAAACCTCCTCTAGTCTTTCCTCGAACATCCAGAATTGTTGCTCCATCAGATGTTCAGATGTTCGGAAGGGTGCCGGGCACCTAACTTCATACACTTTCTATTCTGGGTTTGTTTGTCTGTCTCTTCCATAGACCCTGAGCTCCTGAAAGGCAGCAGCCTTGTTCTAGTTATCTCAAATTCTCAGCATTTAACCTCAGTGCCAGGACCAGGGTTAATCGTTTTCAAATTGAATTAATCCTATCCCTGCCTTTATCACCCAGGCCAGGCATCTTTAGTTCATGGTGAAACTCTGGTAACAGCTTGCTGCCTGGCCTCTTCTTTCCCCATTCCAATCCAGGCTAACATTTGAGCCCAACAGGTCCCTGCTCAAAACACTTCAAGGACATGCCCTGCCAGTGTGGCTTGACCCATGAACTGGGAAGTCCTGGTTCAATACCCAGTTAGGGCACATGCCTGGGTTGCAGTTCCATCCCCAACAGGGGGCGTACAGGAGGCAACCGATCAGTGTTTCTCTCTGACATTGATGTTTCTTTCTCTCCCTTCCTCTCTCTCTAAAAAAATCAATAAAAGCATTTTTTAAACTTAAAAAAAAAATTGTTTTTCTTTATTGATTTTTAGAGAGAGAGGAAGGGAGAGAGAAACTTTGATGAGAGAGAAAGTCGATTGACCGCCTCCTGCATCCCCCTCACTGGGGATTTGGCCCACAACCTGGGCATGTGCCCCGACCAAGACTGGAACTGGCAGCCTCTTGGTGCATGGGTTGATGTTCAACCACTGAACCACACCAGCCAGGCAATAAAAGCATATTTAAAAAACAAAACAAAACACTTCAAGAATAGAGTAGAATTGTAGTATGTGGAGCCAGACTTAGGTTTTAACTCGAGTTTTGCCACAAGCTGATGTGATCCTAAGCACATTGCTTTTTCTCTCTGTCTTTGCTTCTTCATCCCTAAAATGGAGGTTATAACCTCCTCCCACAGGACAACAGATGGGAATCAATGAAAAATTCATGTGAAATGCATCAACATTATCCAAATCTATCCATTACTACTTCTTTTCTTTTTGAGAGGCAGTGTACATAAGAAAGGAGAATATCTGAAAAGTCTGTTCTGAAAGTCAAACTACATCCTGAATGGCCCAGTGATCCTAAGGAAGTTTCTCTAGTTACACAAAGAGGTTAGCTTGCTCCTGGGGTCCTGTTTATTCACAGGAAGCATTTAACATGCTCTTTTGTGAGACTAATCCCCAAGGCAAAGGGACAGAAACTCTTCTCCACCCTTAATATTAAATACAAGTATCAGAGAACATTGGTGCTGTCCTTTACCATTTATAGAGTACTTTCATATCCATCATCGGACTTAAAAGGGGCTTTAATGGGGAGGAATCACAGCCAAATCTTAACAGTGGTAGTCTCTGGATAGTGGAATTGGGCATGATTTTAATTTTATTTGTCATTTCCTAAACCTTGAAAATCTACAATTTTGGAGCTGGGTACAGATAATGGTTGCACAACATGGTGAATGTACTAAATGCCACTAAATTGAACGTAAAGTGTACAGTTTTGTGTGAATTTCACTTCATTACAAAATCTTCTGCAATACACACGCACGATTTTATTAAAATGTGGTTTGAGGCGAGAACAAAAAGGGATTCTCAAGGCTCAAAGGCAATTCAATTAGCCAACAACACGGTCGCATCCATATGTCCAGCCTGCAGCGCGCTCCTCCGACCACCAGGGGTCTCTGCAAAGCCCTCGCATCCTCACAAGCGGGCGAGCGCCTTCTCTTACGCCTTTGTAGCGCGTGTGCGTGCGAGAGGCGTGCCTGGGGTTGTCCGCTCGCTGGCACAACCGTGTCAGCGCAGCCCTTGTGGGTCTCCTTAGTTCCCACCTTCGGCTCCAGCCTTCTCCCGTGTGGGCTGGTTCCCGTCTTTCATCTCCCCACCCTCGTAACCTGGTATTCGTTCCCCGCCCGATGTCCCCTACCGTACTCCGCTAAGGGTCCTGCCTCTGAGCCTCGGCCCCATGGCGCTGCAGGCGCTGCAGAGCTCGGGGGTGGCCTTCCGCAAGATCCTGTCTCACTTCCCCGAGGAGCTGAGCCTGGCTTTCGCCTATGGCTCTGGCGTGTACCGCCAGACAGGGCCCAGTTCAGACCAGAAGGTGAGCCAGGCCCGGGGCCAGCCCCACGCCGGGAATCGTCCTGTTCGCACGAGTTTTCTTTTGCCTCTGATCCCTCCAGAGCCCCAGAGCTGCCTGTCTGCTCAGCGCACTCCACGTCTCAACTGCAAAGTAGAAACTGTAGGATATGACAGTGTTCTTAGTATAACAATAGCGTGAGATGACTTTTTTTTAAGGATAAATAGGAGCCCACTTCCGTATAGAGCAGGAGATGCAATTATAAGAGGGAAAGGCTGATGCAGAGGCAAGATGGTAGAAAGGGAAGTGTTTGCCAGGTTGCTAGTTCAGTGTTCTGAGTCTTGGCTGAATATGGATTCTCTGGGAAGCTTTAAAAAATACCGATACCCCGGTTCCAACAGCGGAGATTCTGATTTAATTGGTCTGGGGGGGTGGCCTGGGCTGCAAGAATTTCAAAACCTTCCCAGGTGATTCTAATGCACAGCCAGGCTTGAGAGTGACTGTCTATAGCTGTAGGAGAAAATACAAAATGATCTTCCTGACTTAATGAAGTCGAGGGGCTGGTTGTAGGGTCAGGGCAGGTGCAGTCAAGTAACTCAGAGCAAAAGTTAGTGGGTGACCAGTAAAATTACCCACGCTCAGGACATTTAACCAGACTGTTTAGGATTCGGCATTATTACTCCTCAGAGTTGGCTGAGCACAACAGCAGTGAGGGTACAGTTTTCCTTGTGACTGCAGATTTCTCTCTGAAAATAAAGTTTGTTTCCAAAGTGGAGACAAGATTCGAGCTAGAAGAGTGGCAGGCAAATATTTTTCATTTAAAAGAAGCTGTTAGTACTGAATTAACATAAAAGGAGCAAAAGTCTAAATAGAGTTGTTCTTTGTGTGTGCAACTTGTGTTCTGAGCTGGAGTTCTGTTTGCTGTAATTCATGCACAGCCTACATTTCATTCATAAACTAAGGAACTGGAAGTATGCAGATTGCAATAGGGCCTTTTGGATTTGGATACCTGGCTGTAATTTGCCTGGCCATCTGTAGTGTTGCTTGGATTTGCTGTTTCCTACCTACACTAGTTTGTTTTTTTCAAATCCTCACCTAAGAATATGTTTATTGATTTTACAAAGAGAGAAACATCAGTGTGAAAGAAACATCAATTGATTGCCTCCTATACATGCCCTGACTGGGGATTGAACCCCCAACCTAGGTAGGTGCCCTTACTGGGAATCAAATTGATGACCTTTGGTATACAGGACGATGCTATACAACTGAGCCACCCCTCTAGGGCTACATTAGTTTTTAAGCAATACTTTTCTTTAAAGTGACAGCGTGTTATAAATTATAAATTATAGGTGTATAAATTATAGGTTATTGTAAGCTAGTTATTTTTTTAAATACGTTAACATAATTATAAATTTTTTAAAAAAACATGTCCACCCCAAATCTTAAGTATCACCAGTGGTTTGTGGATCACATTATGGGAAACTCAGAGCAGGCCTCAGCCTCCTGCTTCTGTAGCCACCTCTTCATTTTTTCCCATGAAAATTTTCCTTTGAGCTGAGGTAGAATTCCCTCCAAGAAAAGGTTCTTCCTTTACTTTCCCTGAATCTCATTCTCTACAAATTAATGTCTTGTAGATTCCAACACCTAAGTCTCTTCAGATCAGTCTCTATACCCTTCAGTGCCTTTGTATCTTTTCTCACCTGAAATCTTGCGGTTAGCTTCCTATGTGGTTTCCCAGCCTTTCATCTCTCCCTCCAGTGAGCTCTTCTGAAGGAAAATTTCTTAGCATGGCAGCCAGCCTCCCTCTCTAGTCTCATCTTCCACTACTCCCCTGCCTTCATTCTGTTCCCAACTGAGGCAAACTAAATGCAGCTCATAGAACATGCCCAGCTCCTATATCCACAAGAGTGTTTTCCTCCAATAGGACTCCCCTGTGCTGCTCCTAATACTTCCACCAGCCCTGCTTAACTCTTGCACATTCTTCAAGACTCAGATTTATCAGAGTCTTGAATATAATTTTATAGGAAAACGTATGCTTCCTGTTCTGACCCCATTTTGAGTGAAATTAGTATATTTTGCATTCTCCTATCAAGTCTAATTACTGATAATTTATCTATTTTACAAGACTGAACTCTTGACCACTACCTCAGGATGCATTGGAGCTCATTGTAGGTCCTCAGTGAGTGGTTGATGAATGGGTGAGAGTTAAAATAACATTTCCCTTTACATAATGCTGTATAGAGCTTATCCATACAGAGTTATTTATCTGGAAGAAAAGTGGAGCACATATTCAGCAACACTTATATGAAAGGCAGTGTAGAATAGTGATTCAGCACACAGAAATTGGAACCAGACTATGTCTGCCACTCACTAGCTATGTGTCCTTGGGCAAAGAATTTACTCTGTGCCTTTTTTTTCCTATAAAATTGGGATAGTGCCCTGGCCAGTTTGGCTCAGTGGTTAAAGCTTCGGCCTGCGGTCCGGAGAGACCCGGGTTCGGTTCCCGCTAAGGGCACGTACTTCGGTTGCAGTTTGTCCCCGGCCCTGGTTGGTCATGCGGGTGGCAGCCACTCGATGTGTCCCTTCACGTCGATGTTTCTCTCTCTCTCTCCCTTCCTCTCTCTCCCTCCCACTCTATCTGTACAAAAAAAAAAAAATGGAAAAAATATCCTCGGGTGAGGATTAAAATTGGGATAGTAACAGTACCTACATGTATGATTTGTTTTGAAGATAAAATGAGTTACTGTATATATAGTATATAAAGTGTTTAGGAGAGTGTTGGCATGACAGTACATGTTAAATAAAGCATTATTGTTGTTATCTGTATTGATGAAAACAAAGCTCATATTGGTTCCAGAGACTTATTTAAATTTCTGATGACAACCCCAGGTTTTTTAAAATTATAATGGCATAGAATTTTACAGCTTTCCACTCTTATCTGGGTGCCTTTCTAGGATTAAAACTAAAATCATTCTCTTTCTTCACCTCCCAGAATGCAATGCTGGACTTTGTGTTCACAGTAGATGACCCTGTTACATGGCATTCAAAGAACTTGAAGAAAAATTGGAACCATTACTCTTTCCTAAAATTTTTGGGGCCCAAGGTTATCACCACTATCCAGAATAACTATGGCGCTGGTGTTTACTACAATTCATTGGTCACATGTGTTGGTAGGGTAAGTACTTTGGGCCTTTGTCTTAACTTGGGTTGTTACTAACTTTTGTTGTTAGAATACTAGCTACATATGTATGCTCTTGCAGTCAGGAAATGTTCAAGCTTCTGCTGGATGAAGGTGGTCAAGTGTGACTGTCTTTATTTTATTTAATTTTTTTAATTTTATTTTTTTGTACGTGCCCCTAGCAGGAACCGAACCTGGGACTCTCTGGTCTTCAGGCCCACACTCCAACCGCTGAGCCAAACCAGCCAGGGCTGTCTTTATTTTTTTGCCATTGGCCAAGGGGTTCTCAAATATTAATGTGCATCAAAATCCCCTAGAGTGCCTGTTAGACACGCAGATTGCTGGGCCCCACCCCACAGGTCTCAGGTAGGGTTTGAGGCTTTGCTTTTTTTGTAAAATGAAATATAATTGCCATATAACATTGTATTACTTTTAGGTATACAACACTGATATGTGTATATATTATGAAATGATCACCACAATAAGTTTAGTTAGTATCGATCACCACACATAGGTACAATTTTTTTCCTTGTGATGAGAACTTTTAAGATTTACTCTTTTAGCAATGAAAATTTGCATTTCTAACAAGCTTCCAAATGCTGCTGCTGCTGGTTTGGAAAACACACTTTGAGAACCAATGGTTTAGTCAGTGGGTGGAATAGGTAGGTCCATTAAGGATCAGAGTGGAAATTAATCTTATCTATAGGGAGAGGCTGACACTACCAGGAAGAATTTGGAAGTAAAGAGGATATCATAGATAGTTGGGAGTGTGTGGTGCCAAGTGGTAGAAACCTCTTGGTGCCAGCAGGTGGGTGGAATTTGATGATGAATTGTTGGAGAGCAGGTAAGATGCATGGATCCTGGCAGAGGGTTGTCTGACAGCAGGAACCCTCCTGAATTGTCTTTCAGATGAAGGGGCCCAATCTCCAAGAACTAGGCAGGATCCCAGTTTAAGAAGTCTGAGGGGGACTAAATCAGATGCCTTCTTGAGATAAGCTGGGCTAAGGCTGACATACGGGTTTCCAGCTGTGCCAGCTCTGCTCAATGCTGTTGATTGCTTAGAGCAGTCATACTTTGATGTTCGGACAGTCACCTGAGGATCTCATTGAATGCAAATTCTGATTCAGTTAATCTGGAATGGAGCCTGAGATTCTGTAATTCTGTTTTGGTTTTTTTTGTTGTTGTTGTAAATCCTCATCCAATTATATTTTTCCATTGATTTTTAGATAGAGTGGAAGGGAGAGAGAGAGGAAAAAATATATAGATGTGGGGGATCGAACCTGCAATTCAGATACATGCCCTTGACTGGAAGCAAACCTGCAACCCTTGGGTCCACAGGCCAATGCTCTAACTGCTGAGCCAAACCAGCCAGGTCAAGATTCCATAATTTTTTCAAGCTCTCAGGTGATGCTGATGTTATTGGTTAGTGGACCACACTTTGAAGGCCAGGAGGTTGGGGACTGATTGCAAAGGGTTTTGAAGACCTATCTGAACTTGGCAGGAATGAGTGCTGTGATTATTGGTGATGCCTGCATAACACTTGAGCCATATATTTACCTTTTTGGTTGCTCCAATGCTGCTCCACCTGCACTTTGCAGATAAAAAAATGTCAGGGTTCAGAGAGAAATTAAATTCCATAAGCTCATGCAGCTAATGCATGACAGACCACTCACTTCCAGTCCAGTGGTGTTTCTATTATCTCCCGGCTTTTACATGTCTGCAGCAAGAAGGCTTTCTGCGATACTGTGGCTAGAGTGGAGGGAAGGTTATTCAGCACAGCCTTCCATGTCCAATTTAGTCATGCCAAACATAGCTTTGTTCTTTGTCCAAAATTAATATTATGCTGAGCCTAACTCTAATTAGTAGTTTCAAACAATATTAAAAGCTCCAGTAACCAAATATTTGGGCATAATTATATGCCAAAGGGACTGTACTTTTTAATTAAAATTCTTTAGCTACTTTTTAGATATTTGTAGCCTGAGAATGCTGTTGAGATACTGAAGTTCAGCGAATTGAGGCCAGAGATATTTGTTGAAGCAAATGGGATTTTGTAACCTGGAACAGCTGCATTCAGAGTTTGAACAAATTACTGTTGCATGAGCTTGACCATAATTTCATGTTCAGCACTGATAAAGAGGTTTTATTTTTGGATGTTGCTTTGTAGTTATAAAGTGTTTGGAATAGTCCATAGTGAAAGAGGAATTTACCATGTAAAGATGTCAGTAAAAGCTTTTAATTATAAACAAAATATCTTGTACTTTGTGATAAAATGAACATTGGAAACCCAGACTAAAATTCAGGGACCTAGTTTTGTCTCTGCTACTAATGGTGCCTCCTTGGACATGTCATTTATTCTCTCTGAGCCTCAGGTTTCTTATTTCTTAAATGAGAAGCATGAAATATATTACCGGCTCCTCAAAATGTGCTGAAGGACCAATTTATTTTTTTTTCATCCTCACCCAAGGATATTTTTTCATTTATTTTCAGACAGAGTGGGGAGGGGGGCATCGATGTGAGAGAGACACATTGTTGGTTGCCTTCCACACGACCCTGACCAGGTCCCTGGATGGATCAGCAACCGAGGTATATGTGCCCTTGACCCGAATAAAACCGGCAATTCTTCGGTCTGCGAGCTGGCACTCCAACTGCCGAGCCAAACCAGCCAGGACTGAAGGACCAGTTTTTATTTCTTTATATTTTGCATTTGCATAAGCAACAATATCGTATTTTGTTCCTTTTAATGGCCATTTCTTTTCTTTTCCAGCTTATCAAATATGGGGTTATTAGCACTAGTATTTTGATTGAAGATCTCCTCAACTGGAATAACTTATACATTGCTGGACGACTCCATAAACCGGTGAGTGTTTGGCTGCTACAATGAGGGATATCTCTCCTCTCTGAATCTGACTTTACTTTGATCTTTGATTGCCGTGAGATGGAACTCCAGGAAATAGAAATGAGTTTCAGGCTCCTATTCCTGTCTAAGAATTCACTGCCAAACAATATCTAGATATTACCCACACTACTCTCGCCCTCTTGCTAAAGATTCTTCAGTTGTCTGGATGGATCAGGCTTAGAGTTAGTCCTTTTGGTCTGGAGAGGATGACAGAAGAAATGCCCAATGTCAGTGGAGCTTCTATCAGTTCTACCCAGATCACCTTCTCTTCTAGGATTTAAGTGCCATGGGACATTGTTTGTCCACTGATGTATCCCAAAAGTGCCTAGGGCAATGCCTGGCACATAGTAAGCATTCAGCAAATGTTTGTTGGATAAGTGAATGAATCAAGTAGTCATGCTGAGGAGAGTGGATTCTAATTCCCTTTATTATACTCCACAGGCCAATGGTGAAATCCTGTTGTAGCATCCTTCCTTCATTTGGGATACTGCTAGAGGAGGCTGTGGGGGGTAGGCGTCTCCCTGGGCTTTAATAGAAAAGGAAAAACGAAATAGGAAAAAAGTGGAGAGGACTTCAACTTTTGACTTGTGTTTGCAAATGTCACATTTCTCCTTTTTTGCAAATATATAGTCTATTTTCTCAGAAAAGGTCTTTTCATAGTTTGAGAACTATGTGACATAGTCACATTGCTAATCTCAAAGCAAGGAAAATTTTCCTTTGTGCTGTCAGAGGATCTCAGGCCTCAAAAGAGAGTACATGGATTGTTCTCAGATGTCTCCCATAAGAATGACTGTGCTGTACCTCCTCTTGTCAGTTATGGCAAAAAATTAGAGAGAGATTTATATAATCTTAGCGTGATTGTGTCATAAAAGTCTCTATTGATATACATGGGTAGTCAGGATTCTCTTGCCTTGCGTCTGGGCTTAAAATTTAATAGTATGTTGCCCAGCCAGTATGTCTCAGTGGATTGAGTGTCAGTCCCATGCACTGAGAGGTCCCGGTTTGATTCCTGGTCGGGGCACATGCCCGGGGTACAGGCTCAGTCCCCAGTGGGAGGCAAGCAGGAGGCAGTCAATCGATGTTTCTCTCTGACTTCGATATTTCTATCTCTCTCTCCCTCCCCCCCCTCTAAAAAAATCAATGAAAATATATTTTTAAAAAATTTAACTGTGTGCCCTGGCTGGTCAGTGTGCCTCAGTGGTTAGAGTGTCATCCCAAGCACCTGAAAGGTCATGGATTCATTTCCCCATCAAGAGCAGGTACCTGGGTTGCAGGTTCAATCCCCCACCCCAGTCACATTCGTGAAGCAATCAGTCAATGTGTGTCTCTCACATCAGTGTTTCTCTCTCTCTCTCTCTCTCTCTCTCTCTCTCTCTCTCTCTTCTTCCTTCTCCCTACACCCCTCCCCCTTGCCCTTTTTCCCCTCCCTTTCATTCTCTCTAAAAATCAATGGAAACAGTCTAGCCGGTGTGGCTCAGTGGTTGAGTGTCAACTCATGCACCAAGAGGTTGCCGGTTCGATTCCCAGTCAGGACACATGCCCATGTTGTGGGCCCAATCCCCAGTGGGGGACATGTAGGAGGCCGCCAGTCGATGTTCTCTCTCATCGATGTTTCTATTTCTCTCTCTCCCTCTCTTTTCCTCTCTCTCTAAAATATCAATAAAGAGAAAAAATAATAAAATAAAAATTAATGGAAAATATCCTTGGGTAAGGATTAATTTTTTAAAAAGTTAATGGTATATGTGGAATTGTGCACCTGAAACATATAATTTTGTTAACCAGTGTCACCCCAATAAATTCAATAAAAAGAAAAATAGCCCTGGCCAGTTTGGTTCAGTGGTTAGAGCATCGGCCCACGGACCAGAGAGTGCCAGGTTCGGTTCCCGCTCAGGGCATGTACCTCGGTTGTGGTTCGTCCCCGCCCCTGGTTGTGATCATGTGGGTGGCAACCAGTTGATGTGTCTTTGTCACATTGATGTGTTTCTCTCTTCTCCCCCTCTCTCCTCCCGCTCTACCTGAAGATAAATACAAAAATGTCCTCGGGTGAGGATAAATTAAAAAAAAAAAAAATTCCATATAGAGAAAGACATTTAATGATGTAGCTCATTAAAATGTCTGGAAACACTTTATAAGAGCAATAGTTACATGACTATATCCATATGTAAAGATTTGTCAGGCTGTACTTGTTGGATTTGTATACTTTACTGTGTGTCATTTTTACTTCAGTAAAAACTTTTTTTTTTAATCTTCACCCGAGGACATTTTTGTATTTATCTTCAGATAGAGCGGGAGGGAGAGAGGGGGAGAAGAGAGAGAGAGAAACATCGATGTGAGAGAGACACATCAATGTGAGAAAGACACATTGACTGGTTGCCACCCACATGACCCCAACTGGGGCTGGGGACAAATTGCAACTGAGGTACATGCCTTTAGTGGGAACTGAACCCGGGGACTCTCTGGTCTGCAGGCTGATGCTCTAACTGCTGAGCCAAACTGGCCAGGGCTAAAACATTATTTTTAAAGTTCAGAAACAATCGGCTTACCAAAATAATTTTATATCTATTTAGATGAATTTCTCATTTCTAGGCTGGATAACTAGTAAAACTGATAATTAAGCAAATAAATGTAATTGAAAATTTATAAATATTAATTTTCTTTCCAAATTTTTTGTTTACAAAATATGTATCTTGACAGGAAGAATAATTAATGTGAAATGAGAGGCTTTGGGTCTTTTTTTTTTTTAATCTTTTTATTGATTTTTTTTAGAAAGAGAGGAAGGAAAAGAGAGATAGAAACATTGATGTGAGAGAGATAAACAACGACCGGCCTCCTATACTCCCCGTATTGGGAATCTAGCCCACAACCTGGGCATGTGCCCTGATGGGGAATTGAACTGGGACCTCTCAGTCCGTGGGATGATGCTCAGTCCACTGAGCCACGCTAACCAGGCGCTTTGGATCTTATTTATTCATGCCACTTGTTAACTATTTATGTGAACTTGGACAATTTATTTTACCTTTCTGAACCTCCAGTAATTTATAGAATGGCGACAACAATATTTGCCCCACCTACTTCAAGAAGGTGTTGAAAAGTGGAAGCAGAATGGTAATACTGAAAAGGAAACAGATGTTTAAGAATCAGACAGATCTGTGGTTTGAGTTCCAGCTCTGACACTCTCAGCTATGTGACCCTGTACCAGTGATTGATCTCCTTGAGCTTTGAAACATTGTCATCTGTGGATAAAGCTGAGAACACTGACCCCAAAGACATTTGAGAAATGCCTGGCACTTAGTAGACACTCAGGAAATGATCTTTCACTTTCCTTTGTCCTTGCCCCTCTCAGAGTTAAAATGAGATGCTGAATGTGAAAATGTTGTTATTTCCTATCTTGTGTTTTCTGCTTGGAATATTTTAATTTTTCTTTTTCTTTTTTTTTTCTCCTCACCTGAGGACATTTTTCAATTTTTTGTTCAGGTAGAGTGGGAGGGAAAGAGAGGAACAGAGAGAGAGAAACATCGACGTGAAAGGCACACATCGAGTGGCTGTCACCCACACGACCAACCAGGGCCAGGGACAAACGGCAACTGAGTATGTGCCCTTAGCGTAACTGAACCCGGGTCTCTCTGGACCGCAGGCCTACGCTCTAACCGCTAAGCCAAACCGGCCAGGGCTAATTTTTCTTTTAATAGACAGAACACTGAAAACACCATGAAATCTCAGAATATAAGCACTGGGAATGACCTCAGATTTTATTTAAATGTCATATATCCTGATAAAGTAAAAACAGCAATTCAAGACAAATAGCAGCTCCATTTATATCATGCAAAATGCCATTTCTCAGCTAACTTAGAAGAAAATGTTACTGATAATAGTGACTGTCCCTCAGGCTTATTAAAGCTTCTAGTGGAAGAAAATGAAGATCTCTTTTAAAGTCATTTGGAAGTGTTGAACCTAACACATGATAAAAAAAAAAAATCATAAATGGGTGAATTAACTCTTCCACTCACTCCTGCCTTTAGTTTCCCTCTCTAGTGGAAATCACTGTTAACCATTCTCAAGATAACTGTCTTTAAACAAACAATTTTTACCTCTAGGTGGCAGCAAATATTAATCAAATGAACAAATCTGATGGAAAGAAAGCATTGGTAGCATTTTAATAAAAAGAATGGATGAATGTCCTAGGAAAGAATTGTGAGAATATGAGTGTGAATTCTTTGTTTTTATGTGTTTTAAAAGAAGGAGTTACATTAAATTACATTGTCTAAAGCTCTAAAATTACCTTGTATATTACAACTAGAATAGAATTTCTTAATCACTAGCAATTTAAGTGTTTAAAATATACAGAAGGTATGGGAACTCTCTGTACTTTCCATTCAATTTTGCTGTGAATTTAAACTGCTCTAAAAAGTAAAATTTATTAAGAAAAAAAAAAAAAAAGAAATATAAAGGAATGCCTTGCTTTAAAGATGGACATTTCTGGAAAAAGTTGTATGAAAGTTAAATTTACATTATACTTTACCATTAACTTAATTCATAATTGAGATAACCCATTTTTATTTTTAATGCAGCCTTAAGTTTCTGAGTCATTTACCAAGTCATTTTCCAAGTAAAGGACAATGAAATTTAAAATATTTAATAGAACCTTGTGGCTAACCTTTTTTTTTTAAAGTCAAATGAACTCTAAAGTAATAGTAATAGTCATCTCCCTAATTTATTTAACATAAATATAGAGTTTTGGATTATATATTTAGCATATAGATAATTTGGCTTGAATTTTTAAAGCCTTCACATAGACATACAGTGGTATTTTGCCACCTGTTAAGAGGATTTTAATGTATTTTTATGTATTTGTTGCAATATATTTTCTTTGCTAATAATATAGCTTTTTAAAAATAACAGCTTCATTGAGATATAATTAACATACCATACAATGCAACCATTTAAAGTGTACAATTCAATGGTTTTTAGTATATTCACAATTTTGCATCCATCATCATATTGTAACTATTGATTTACTTTTTGTGGATAGAAAAATCCCAGTAGTATAAAAATTCCCTGACTGGAGATGGAAAACCTGGCTTAGTAGCCTTGGCTCTGCCCAGCTATAAGCAAATCTTTGGGCCTTTAGCCTTTGAAATGCAAAGATTGAGCCATTCATTTACTTATTTAAAAGGCAACCAAGTTTCTTCTCTGTGTATGCCAAAGGAATTTTTTTAAAAAACACACCACACTCTTTATCTTGGAAGAGTTTGTAGTCCAATAGGTAATTAATAAGGGTTCATCCACCTCGAATATTCAGTGTTTCTTTTTGGTCCTCAGGCAGTGACCATTTAGAAAAATTAGCCTTTCTGGCCATTTGGAATGGAAAACTTCCATGGGAAGGGTCACTTGGTTAGGTATTTGAACACTAGATAGGGCTGTGTTCTTTGTGACTATAACTTCACTGTTTGCAATTCAAGTACTGTCTCCATGTGACTGTATTATAGAGGAGACCACATGTGACTTTCCCTTTTTTCTATCTTGAAAGGTACTCACAAATCTCTCAAAAGTTGGGCTTTTGAAAGTCCCTTCAAATGTTGCCCCTTCCTCTCTACAGTCAAGATTTTCTCCTTGGCAGTAGCGCTAATGCTATCTATGCGGTTCAGATCGGGGCATTTCCAGTAAGATACAAACAGCTATTCACAAATCTGAGGGCTTTCTTTTTTTCCCAGGCCTCTCTGGCAGTGTCCCAAGAGTTCACTGGCTTTTCACTCTGAACCAACAAATAACTGTTACTGAGACAAGTTCCTAGTTCACCTTACACTGGAGAACCAGATCAGCATAGTAGCAGTCTTCTGAATTGACATTTTTTTCCCTTTGAGTAAGAATGCTTTTATTTATACTCAACTTTAGATAGCAGACTGTTTATATATATATATAAAACCTAAGTAGAACAACCTTCTTAGAGAATAAGTGGTTTCATGTTAAATAAGATTTCCTCAGACTTACTCTTTTCTTTGCAGCTTAGATTTGTTAGCATCTCAAAATAACATCGGTTTTCATGGAATTTCTGTAAAAGCTACCAAAAAAGAGAAGGTGAAGAATTATTGAGCAGGACCTGGTGAATGAGAAAGAAGAATAAGATTTGGAAGTGGGGCTTCACAGAGTTTTGGAAAGAGCTCTGAATGAATCAGGGAACTAGATCCTCATTCATTGTGCCACTATTTCTCATGAAAAAATCTTTTAATCCTCTGGGCCTCAGTTTCCCCATGAGTAAGATGAGGTTACCTTCCTACATCCATGATGCTGTATGGAATACAAAGTTTGGAAAAGTTAATCAAGAAATAAACATAGGAGTTATTAATAGGGCCTTAACATTTGTTTTAATCATCTTTAAAAGAAAAGAAGTTAACCAGAGCAGATTCCTTGCTGAATGCATGAGAATAATTCAAAATATTTAGAGCTGGATTTGCCAGGCATAAGGGTGTTACCCTGATTTTGCCATCAACTCATTATGCGACCTTGGGCAAGTCCTGCTATTGGGCTGCTCCTTGGTTTTACTTTCTGTAGATGATTACAATAATACTAATCTCACCCAAGTGCCGAAAGGCTTAATTAAGGGCTATTAAGTCATTGTAATAACAAGGATGGAGGTGTTAGTATTGAGTAAAGTGGCTTACCTAATATATGAGAGGTTTTTATTGTATTGCTTTTTATAATTAATTTTTAAAAATAAACTATACTTTGAGATATACATCAGTCTGTTTCCTTGCTGTCTAATAAAATTTTAACTTGGAGTTTCTTATATATATGTGTCTTTTATGTACCATTTTAATTTTGTCAGAAATTATCTATTTGACAAAAGGTAACTTAAACCCTATCTTCTAGAATAGAAGGAAAAATTGGTGCCATCACTAAATGGTTTAGAGATGGTGGATACATTTGAGATATGTGGAATTCTTATTAGGGACTTCTAGACCCTTTCCTTATTTAGAAAATCAGAAGGAGCATGATGGTTTTTAAAAATCATGGCAGGAGTGTAAATTGGCACAACTACTCCAAAGAGCAATTTGGCAATATTATTTCTAAGTATATACCTTAGAGCAGTGGTTCTCAAATGTGGACCCTAGACCAGCAGCACTAACATTACCTGGGAACTTGTTAGAAATGTACATTTTCAGGCCTCTTCCAGGCTGAATGAATCTAACTTGGGAGGATGGTCCCAAGTGTGTTTTAACAAGTCCTTTAGATGATTTTGATACTTGCTAAAGGCAAGAACCTCTTGCCCAGAGAAACTCTTGCAGTATGCACCAAGAAACACATAAGGAAGCTCACTTCAGCTAAGGGTTCATGTGTAATATCTCATTTAATCTTCCCAACAACTTATGAGCTTGATTCTGTTACCCCATTTTACTGGTAAGGAATTTTACTCATAGTCACAGTGCTAGTGAGAGAGAGAGCTGGGACTTAATCACATTATCTTAACTTCACTGCAGTCTTTAAAACCTAGACTCTTAGAACAGACTAGAGCAATTTATATTTTCATGAATTTGGGAGAAATCAAAGACAGCAGCTACTGCTGTGTATTCAGGAGAAAAATTTGTTTTATTGATTAAGGCATTCATTAGTACATTAAGCACTTTATTATCTCATTCAATCTTTGTAACAGTTCTTTGGTGCGTGTCTGTAATCCCCATTTTATAGATGAGAAATTACGTAATTTGCCCGAATTCACACAGCTAATAAATACCAGGTCTTGAGCCCATACCTATACCTAAAACTCATGCTCTTTCTATGGTAGCTAATTTTCTTTCCTTTTTCCTCAGAATAGAGCATGAACTATTCAGGTTATGTATGGATAACAGTTGAGTTCTAAATAAAGTAAAATTTTGCCTTTGTCTACCATAAAATTAGGTGAAGAACAATGAGATTATAAAATAAATATTAAATTTCCCAAAGGACATTTATTCCATTTCTACTGACTTCTTTTCGAAACCCATTTAAGAGACATTTTTTTCCCCTGTATCATTATTTCTCTGATTTTTATTACAAAATGAGATTCTAGGATTGCTTAGTAGGATAATAATTATTTTGTGTCAACTGGCCTAATATTCCAAGATCTTCAGAGCTAAGTTTGGGACATTGTAATGTTTAAACCCCTTAACTTGAGCAATACTCTTCTGGAAGTTTTCTTCTGAATGTTCTGCTTATTTTCAGGTGAAAATCATAGCAATGAATGAGAATATTGCTCTTAGGTCAGCCCTAGATAAAAATCTGAAGAGTGCTGTGACCGCTGCTTTCCTCATGCTTCCTGAAAGCTTTTCTGAAGAAGACCTCTTTATAGAGATTGCCGGACTCTCCTATTCAGGTTAGTACGTTTGGTGCCCGTATTTTCTGCAAGATGGTTGTTTGAAGACCGTGCAAACACCCCACTCCTTACTCCACACTGGAGCTGCAGCAACCTTCGTTCCAAATCCCGTTACTCCTTGTGTAGGTTAATGCAAAAACCCAGTGAGTTGTCTCCTTGCCTCCAAAGCCTTTTACTTGACACATCTGTATATAAATTACCCCAGGGTAATCTTTTTGTTGTTGTTAATTTCAAACTTACAGGAAAGTTTCAATAATAGTACAGAAATCCTGTATACCTTCTCCCCAAATTTGCCAATTTTAACGATTCACCACATTTGTTTTACCATTCTCTCTGTTTCAGTGGGTTTCAAACTTTAGTGTACAGTCCCCAAGAGGGCTTGTTAAAATAGACTACTGGGCCCACTCCCAGATAGCCGATTTTAGTAGGTCTAGGGTGAGGCCCAAGAATTTGTGGAATTTTTTTGTGTGCATGTGTGTTTTTGTTGTTTTATTAATCCACACCCGAGGATATTTTTTTTCCATTGATTTTTTTTTTTTTTTTTTTATCCTCACCAGAGGACATTTTTCCATTTTTTGTTCAGATAGAGCAGGAGGGAGAGAGAGGAAGAGAGAGAGAGAGAAACATCGATGTGAAGGGACACATCGAATGGCTGCCACCTGCACGACCAACCAGGGCTGGGGACAAACTGCAACCGAGGTACGTGCCCTTAGCGGGAACCGAACCCAGGTCTCTCTGTACCACAGGCCGACGCTCCAACCGCTGAGCCAAACCGGCCAGGGCTCCATTGATTTTTAGAGAGAGTGGAAGGTAGCGGGAATGAGAGAAACATTCATGTGAGAGAGACACATTGATTGGTTGCCTCTTGCATGCGCCTGACCAGGGACAGGGATGGAACCTGCAACCCAAATACATGCCCTTGACCGGGAATCAAACGCACTACCCTTCAGTCCATGGGCCAACCCTCTAACCACTGAGTCACACTGGCCAGGGTAAGAATTTGTCTTTCTAGCCAGTTCCTGAGTAATGCTAATGCTCCTTCAGGGATCCCACTTTGAGACTATTGCTCTGTCTGTATATGTAAATACACTGTATTATGTATTTTTTTCTCAATTATTTGAGAGTAGATCACATAGCATGTTTCCTTTAGGCCAAATACTTCAATGTGTGTTTCCAAAGAACAAGGACATCCTCTTACATAACCACAGTTCAGTTTTCAAACTCAGGAAATGTAACACTGATTCAGTACTTTTATCAAATTGATGATCCATATTCCAAGTGTTGTCAGTTGTCCCAGTAATCTCCTTTATAGTATTTTTTCTCCTCCAGTACATGATCCAGTCAAGGATCATATACTGTATTGTGATGTCATGTCTCTTTTATGTTTTAATCTGGAATACTTCCCCAGCCTTTCTTTGTTTTATATGACAGGCACATTTTTGAAGTCTGCACACCAGTAATGTTTGTTCCCTGATAATCAGTGTTTCTCACTTTTAAACAATATATGGGGAGACAGTTGAAAATCATGCAAATATCCTGCTTCTTATCAAACTTTCCCTCCTATGTTGAGCATCCATTGATGATTCTTGCTCAAACCCATCTTTTTACTATGATGGTCACAGAGAGGTAATTTTCAACTCCACATTAAGGAAAAGGTTTTCCTTCTCCCCATTTATTTATTTAGCTAAATAATAGCTTTTTCTGTTTCCCCTTAACCAGTTGTGTCCCTCAGAGATGTCGGGGTTCTTCAGAGGGCAGGGGAAAGCTGGGGGAGGGAGCCCGGGCCCTCGCCCTCCGTGACCAGAGAAGTGCCACACTGGTCTGCTTGATGTGTTAAGGAGCTGTGTAGAATTTCATTTACAAAAAGTCATCTTCTACTTAAGATATAGTTTGAAAACCACTATCTTAAGTAAATATCCTCTTTTCCAACTTTTAAGTATGAGTCAAAAAACTATGCTCAAAATATTGCGAAAGCCGTTTGTTCATTTTCTGAATCCCTGTACAGATAAGATTGCATGGAAATGTAATGCTGAAAGAGTCCTTAAAGTTCTTGTTCTTCAGTGTTTTTTCCAAAATGACCACAGCTATCACTGCAACACTGGGAGAGAGGAAGTGAAATAACCTTGGTCTTTGGTGGCTTCCAGCTTAACGTGCAGCATTCCTGTTGTTCAACAAAAGGTGAGGGAGGGGCAAAGAGTGGTGTGTTCTACCTGGATGAAAGGGAAAGGGGGTCATGCAGTTAGGGTAATTCCCTTACCTTGCTCCCTGTGAGAAAGGTGAACCAGAAGCCTTTTATCGATTTTGTGGAAGAAAACGCAGGGCCGTTCTTTACTTTGCCCTCACCACAACCACTCTTCTATTTTTTCCTGTGTCATCAACATCAGAGTAGTGTTAGGCAGCTTCTAGGAGTTTTTTATAAATTCTGAACATTGACTAAAGAAATTTATCAAACGAGGACATCTGGTCAAGATGTCAATGTAGGTAAACATGGTACTCACCTCCTCCCACAACCACATCAAAGTTACAGCTAAACTACAGAACAACCATCATTCAGAACTGCCTGAACTCAAGCTGAATGGAAGTCCTACAAGTACGGAATTAAAGAAGAAGACACATTGAGACTGATAGGAAGGATGGAGGCGAGAATGGGCTGGTCCTACACACACGTGTGGCGGATAAAAATCAGGAGGGTTACCTCAGCTGTGAAGGTCCTCCATGAGGAGCGAGGGGTCCCCGTCTCACACCATGCCCCAGCTCAGGGTTCCAATACCAGGAAGAGAAGTCTTCAATTTCTGGCTGTAAAAACCAGTGGGTATTGAGACAGGGAGGTTGAGGCTGCTGGAGTCCCAGTAGTTCCTTTTAAAGGGCCCGTGCACGGACTTACTCGGACCCACTCTGTCCAGGCTCCAGCGCTGGGGAGGCAGCTTGTAAGGCACCAGAGACATAGGAAAGAACTGAGTTGTGTGGCACTGAGGCAAGAGCTGGAGGGGCAGCTTTCTCTTGGACAGATGTGCTGTCAGAGGCCATTGTTCCTTTGGTAATCCCTTCCCTGGGATGGCAGATGGCCACAGTATCTGGGACTCTAGCAACCTAGTTCATACTGTTTGCCCCACCCAGCTTTTGGGCCCACCTAAGCTATTTCCAGTGGCTTTTCCATAGGATTGGCCTGTGTTGGATCCTGCTTGAGATCTTTCTAAATTCTCAAACAAACAGCATCTGGCCTCGATGAGCCTAATATCTCTCGCTAAGTGGCCCCAGGCCTATTACTAGAAGTAGCCAGCCTTGGTTCACAGCTTGGCTTTGCCTGAGTACCTCCAAGCCCAGCACAAGAAGCAACTATCTGCAGATCACTTTGTAGCTTATGCCTGGTGGCCCAGGTAGAACACAGGCAGTGGCTGACCTTGTTCCAGAACCGGCACACCCAGTGGACAACTTCAGACCACATTGAAGCACCACCACCCAACCACCTCCACAAGTGACACACTCAAGGAATGGACCCAGTGGGTTCCAGAGCTCTGCTGAAGTAAGTCTTGCTCTGTGTGGTGGGCCCCTACACATCTGATTTTCCAAGGTAATCAGAGGTCAATGGGCAGTGGGTACAGCCAGTCTTTACAGCTGATCGGCCTGAGTAAATCCCTCCCATTGATGTGCCAATGGCAATCAAGACTCAATTACAACAGAAAGGTGTACAGTTCACACTAGGGGTGCACCTTGAGGTCCCAGCTGAGGTGATCAGGGAGACTGTGCCACTGGACCCTACAAGACACCTACTACAATAGGCCACCCTATGAAACCTAGGAGACATAATAATTCTACCTAATACATAGAAACAAACATAGGGAAGCAGCCAAAATGAGGAGACAAAGAAACATGTCCCAAATGAAAGAACAGAACAAAACTGCAGGAAAAGAACTGAACAAAATGGAGATAAGCAATCTAACAGATGCTGAGTTCAAAACACTGGTTATAAGGATGCTCAAGGAGCTTAGTGAGAACTTCAGGGAAGTTCATGAGAACTTCTAGGAACTTAGTGAAAACATCAACAACTTAATAAAGGACCAGCTAGAAATGAAGGATGCACTAACTGAAATAAAGAATAATTTACAGGGAATCAATAGTAGAGGAGGTGAAGCCAAGAAGCAGACCATCGATTTGGAATATAAAGAAGCAAAAAACACTCAATGAGAACAGCAAAAAGAAAAAAGAATCCAAGAAAATGAGGATAGTGTATTTGAAGAAATAATGACAGAAAATTTCCCTAACTTGGTGAAGAAAAAAGACATAAGTCCAGGAAGCACAGAGTCCTAAACAAGATGAACCCAAAGAGGCCCACACCAAGACACATCATAACCAAAATGCAAAGAAAGAGTCTTAAAAGGAGCAAGAGAAAAGCAGTTAGTCACCTACAAGGGAGCTCCCATAAGACAGCTGATTTCTCAGAAGAAACTTTGCAGGCCAGAAGGGAGTGGCAAAAAATATTCAAAGTGATGAAGAGCAAGGACATACAACCAAGATTACGCTATCATGCAAAGCTGTCATTTAGAATTGATGGACATATACAGAGTTTACGAGATAAGAAAAAGCTAAAGGAGTTCATCACCACCAAACCAAGTATTATATGAGATGCTGAAGAGTCTTAGATCAAAAATATGAACAATAAAATGGCAATAAATACATATCTATCAACAATTGAATCTACAAACCATATGAATAAGCAGAACAGAGACTGACTCATAGATACAAAGAACTTTTTGTTGGTTGCCAGATGGGAGGGGGGTTGGGGAAATGGGTGAAAAAGATAAAGGGATTAAGAAGTACAAATTGGTTGTTAGACTGACAAACCTCAAAGGGAAGTGAGGGGTTGGGGGGAGACATATGCATAACCAGTGTACACAGACAATGGTGTTGGGAAGCAAGAGAGGGGTGGGAGCGGGGAGGAGGGAGTCAATAGGGACAAAAGTGGGGGACATCTATAATATATTCAACAATAAAGATAAGTA